CTAAAAAATGAATGTGGCCTTACTAAAAGGCATTCTTTAAGTTTCCTCTTCAGACTTGATGCTTGCCTGTGCTTCTGTATTGAGCTTGCCCATCACTGAAAGCGGGTTGCAGAAGCCTCATTCGAGGCCGTGTTTGTCACTGTTAGAGCTCTGTGGGCGTCCTGAGCAAAAGATGCTACGCAACAGCCATGCATCCATGTGGAGATGGAGTGAGCCTTATTTACAAGAATTAGCTGTAAAGCTGAAGCAATCAAGCTAAGCAAGTTTAAAGTCAAACTTTCAAAGCAGAAATAAAAGCAGAAGGGATGACGGTGGGCTAGGCCAGGAGGTCTGCAAAGCAGCTTCTCTTCTCGTGCTGGAGTGCCAGGGCTCTGCCTCACAGTGCTACCCCATCCTCCACTATAGTGAACTCATCCACATCTTTTAAACCTGTTCTGCTGCTGCTTTTGGTAATTGATTTATTATACTACAAATGCTATTTTATTATTTTTATTTCAAAAGGCCCTCTGTTTTTGTTGAGTGTAGGCAGTTAATGTGTATTTCCTGGAGGATATGATTAGAGATTAAATTCTTAAAAGGATGCATACAAAAAAGGTGTAGGCACACATGTAAGCAAAAAAGAGGTGGAAAAATAAAGTTTCTTTCATGCCTAAGGGAAATTTCAAACAACAAAGATTTTTTTCAGGGTTGTTGTCTTTGACGCTGACACATGAGCAATGCCTCCGGGCCCATTTAAAATGCAGAGGATTTCTCCCAAGGCCTGGGGCTTGAAATGACAAACAAAGGGAGACTTTGGGGTGACGTTTTCCTTAGCCTTCCAGTTTCCAAGCTAAGCCTGCCTGGAATCCATTTGATCATTATGCACTGTAGCTTAAAAAATGTGCCTGGGAAGAAAAAAACATGGCATTGCCAAGAAGCTTTGTAGCCCTATATGATTTGTGTGCAGAGTGCAGACTGGCTTTGGATTCATTCCATCAAGACAGCTTCTTCTTGGCTCTCAGAGACTTTTCTTAGGATAGCATTCATTTGTTTTAAGTCTCTTTACATTTTGCTTGAAGACCTTTAGAAACTGTAAGTGGGTGAGAAATCTGACAGTCTTCTCTCCTGATTAATAAAAAAGAGCTTTCAGACCCATATTTCTATTTCTAAAATAAATAACATTTTAAGAGCAGATGGAAGAAATCTATTACAGCAGCCCAATACCACTAGGTAGATTCTCTTTCTCACTACCCCAAAGCAGCAAAAACCTGTCTGCCCCCCCAGCCTGGGGAAGAGGCGCTGCTGTATCCTCATGCTTCTGTTTGTGCTCAGGTTGCTCTGTTATTATTTCCTTTGAGGGAAGAAAAAAAAAAAACCGAAAGCAGCCCTAGTGTGTGTCACCACTTGATGGCACCAAACAGATTTGAAAGGCCATCGAAAATAAATAAATTAAGAGACACAACTCAGCTTCTCTGCAGTGTGGGAGAGCATCAGCAGGAGTCATGCTCGCTAAGAGAATAATACCCTTAAAGCTTTCTCTGCATCTGATAAAGTTTACGGTTTTTGGCTTTCGCTAACACAGCATGAGTACTTCAGCACTGCTGTAAAAATTTAGCAATAGGGCCTTCTGGAGAAATGAGCAAACTAGAAATGTGTTTTTAGCCTGATTTGCTGGCCAGTTTGTGAGCAAGAGAGGGTGTGTGGCTGCTGGGCTGCATCCTGCTGAGTCTGGATGCTCTGCCCTCCCAAGGATGCAGCAATATCCCTTTTGCAGCTACGAGACCGTGGGTTAATGAAAATCACATTTCCAGATTGGATCAGTTGAACAGTTTTTCCAAAATAGGGGGAATTCTAGAATCATCACACTGTGTGCCGTTTGTTAGATTCACAATGACCTTGATATAGTAACTCCTGCTCATAAAGTCCTCCTCTCCTGATTCCCTTAGGTACAGATGCTCTTAGTTCAGTGACTAAGAAGATCATCATATTGATCCCTGAGTCATTAACACTAAAGAGTACCGACAGTGCACCCCCCTAGTATTCTTATGGATGCTTCTCCTTGTCTTTTCTGAGTGTGTTACAAGAATCTTGTGTTGCTCAGGTTTTTATTAGATCTTGGAGAAATGAGTTTCAGCAGCAGACATCTGCAAGATAACCTCCTAGTCTATCCATTAAACAAACAGCAATTGCTAGAGGGTTGCTTTATTTAATTCACTCTGAATCCTCTGCTTTCTGTAGTTTGAGCTTCCTTCTGTCTTTTCATCTGTCCCTGAACATACTGCCTTGCTTAATTATATCCTGTTATGTGTTTCATGGAGAAAGAGGAGGAGGAAGATGTTAATGCTTGTCAAAATGACCAACAATCTCCTCCTTCCCCAATTCTATTTCAAATAAAAATGCCTGCCAAACATTTTCTTCCTTTGTCTAGGTTAGCCATAAAAAAAAAAAAGATACTCCATTGGCTTCTAGTCTCAACTGGTAGAACAGAGATAATGCTTATCCCAGTGTTTTGTCAATCAGAAATGATCAAAAAATGCAGCGTGTCTGTTACCCCTTGGCTTCCAGCTCTCCTTCTACCCAACTATGGATTGATAGAAGTGCGTAGTGCTGAGGGAGCGTATACGTGCACATGTGTAGCATTCCTGTTGATGTAGAGACAGAGTAATTTTGGCACTGGCCCTCTCTTCATTCCAACACAACTGTTTTATAATTAATTTTTTATTTAGTTTGTGACTTGTAACTAGAAAATTAGTTGGCTAAGAAGCTGTTTTGCTTTTTGTTTATATAGCACCCAGCACAGTGGAGAGCTAATCCAAGAGTAAGGATCTTAATAGTAATTTACATTAGTTATATCTGATAGATCCTATGGTTGTCTATACATACACAAAAATCAGTCCCAGCCCTTCAAAGTTCATGTGAAAGATTATTTAAAGTGTCTTTATAACATCCCTGAGCTTCGTATGTATTGATTCCAGAAACTTGTTCATATTTCGGATTATGGTTGTCTTGTTTCTAGACCGTATCACATCCCTGATTAGTCCTTTAACTGACCAATTGCAATGTAAGTACTGAACTTAGAAGTGTTTCACCCTTACAGTAGGCTACAGTATTCCCAAAGTGCAGGAGATGTGGGAGTGCTCTCTGCTCCCGTGGTGCACTCAAGAGCATGTACAGCTTTGCTTAAAGGTGAATGGCCAAAGCCACTAAAACCTCTTTTTTTCTTTTTTCTTTTTCTTTTTTTTAATGTCTGCTTACTTTCTGGCTAAGAAATCTATAGGAAGGATGCCAAAGACTAAATGTACCAATGAAAAGGGTTGAATATTTGTGAGTACTTGAGTGTTGTGATTTATAAGGCAAAGTGTAATCTTCCATTTTGAAAAAATAGCACCCATTAAATGAAGCAACCTTAAAAAAGCTGGCAGCTTTGTTATTAGTGGGTGCTGATGTTGCTGTCTGACCTGCCTAAAATGGCTGGTAAAACAGTCTGTAGCAATTAGATAATTGTTTCACCAAAATATGATTAAATCTGAATGCCCGTAATTGATGCTTCCTGTAAGCAGTATTGAAACAGGACTGTTAACGAGAGCAAATATACATTCTTACGGTTCCTAGTACTTGAATTCCAGAGGGAAGAAAATGGAAAGCAATTAGAGCAACAAAATGGATGTTTGTAATTTAATATTCAAAGCATGCTTTCCTTTTTCTTTTAAATTCTAATTTAATTGAGAGATTTCATGTACTTAGGAAAGAGCATATTTAGGCTTTATATAGTGTCATGGCTCTGCTCTTGGTTCTAAAGTCTTCATTCTCCCCAAGAATTTCAAAGACCCTGTAGACTGGGATATTTTTCTAGGCTGGGCCATCTATATAGCTCTGAGCCATAGGATACAATATGCAAGAATTCACTGGGGGGGAAAAAGAGAGTTGGTGGCCACATTAATGTGATAAATGTTCTGGAAAGGATGCTCGCTCACATGGAAGAGCCAGCCCTGCTTCTAAATGGTGCTGCAGCCTGGCTCGAGGCTGCAGGCAGCTGCGCACGAGCCCCGCGCAGTCACCGCCGTTTCCTATGGCAGCCGCTTCTGTTCCAGGTCCTGAGCCCAGCCCTGGTGCGTGCAGTTTGCATCGGGAAAGGTTGCACGCATCTCTTGACACGTAGGTGTGAAATTCAGCCCCAAATCAAGTCAGCAGCTCCTAGCACAGGACCCTTAATTAGTTTTTGAGCCTTTGCCAAAGATAAAGCCCCATATGCTTTCAGTCTGTTCCCTTCTAAATACACAGCAAAGTGTAAGCAACGCTAGTGCAGCTGATGAATGGGGGCAGAGGAAGGATCTCCAGCAGAGTTTCCCAGTGTGGGAGGCTTCACTGTTGAAGCATTTCTAAAAGCAAAGGAAAAGTGCAGCAGTCCAGGGATGAGCTGTGCTCTACTGCAGCAAATTCTTTAGTGATCATAGTGAGGCATGAATTACAGAGGCTGGGACACTCCAGCTTACACAGCCTCTGAAGGCACAAACTGAGCTGTATTTTCCTGTGATTCTGATTCTTCCCTATGTTCGTTGTCAGTCATGGAGCAACATCTTTCTTTAAAGTCAAAAATACAAAGTTACACAGAAGGAAACAGTTAAAAATTACTACAATGTTTATAGCAGTCTTAGTTGTTCTTCATAAATACACCAAGCTGTTCTGTTTTGTGATATTCAACTTCTTAGGAGAAAAGCAGTCAGCTCTCTAGAAAGTAATGTTGAAAATATGACATTATCTGTTAAAAGGCCAGATTCTCCTTTCATGCACACTCTGTTAAAGTGCACAAAAGCTTAAGGTCTCCTGCTGAAAGGACTAGCTGGATCCCCTTGGGGTGCAGGCCGTGATTGACTGTAGAGTGTTGTATTGGGAACTATAGACATTTATATCTAAGATCATGAAAAGCAGGGGTTTTAAAACCCACAGTCTGTTAATCACAGAATTTGTATCTCTGCTACTAAAAAGTTATACTGTCACCTGGACTCCTTGTCATCCTTTAGGTTTCGGCATAGTCCAAATTGCTGGTATTTGAGAGACTGGACTATTCACAGTTGGATCAGACAGTGCTTAAAATACAATGCAGAAGACAAAGCCCTGTACACATTAAAAAACAAGGTAAGCTTTTTGCCATGAAAAGCCAGGACTGTATATGATCATCTTTTTTTTTGCACAAGCAAAGCTGACCTGGAATTCTTGTTGTAGTCAGGCTTGCAGACTGCATTTTCAACTTCAGATTTGTTTTGTCAAAATCAAAATTAGAGTTTCAGCTAAAGCTCTTCAGAGCTTTTGTTTTTCCTCTGGGAGGCTTCTGACCAACCAAACCACGACAGAAAGGCCCCCCCATGTCGTGAAGCAGTGTTAAATTGCTCCTTGCATTGCTAACTAACAGTCACATTTCAACAGTGTGCAGTACTAATGTTCTGATCGTTCTGATACATACTGATTTATGCTTGGGAAGATTTGAACAGGAGATTTTAAAACACTGATCTTTTCCTTCTTCTCTTCAGGTTCAATATGGAATTTTCCCAGATAATTTTACATTGAATATTTTGATGGATTTTTTTATAAAGCAGAAGAAATATGAAGGTAAGAAAGTATATGTCACTTGTGCATCATCACTTTTTATGCTCTTAAATATGCAGGGCCTATTACTGAACTCACAACTTTTAGCCATATTTTCTCTGAAGTCACTTAAAAACACATTTTCTCCGTTCTTCCTTAAACTGCTTTTCTCCATGATTGCGTCTCCTTTTTTGCTGGAATTTTATTAGCTATATAATTTTGAAACACTTGCAGTTCAGAATTTCTGCTATGATTAATCTCATAACAATGCTAAACTATCTTATAAGATAACAATATCTCAGGAGTTATTAGTGACAATTACAATGCTCTAAGAATTGAGATGTATGGTATAAGGTTCACCTAACCCACATTCAAACAGCTACACACCTGAAATAAGATAATTTGTGCAGACTTTGTCACTGGTGGGAACCAGCTGACCTGAATTACCACATTGAGGTGCCTGTCTTTCACTGTTGAGTATTTAAGGGTTCAGATGAATGATCATGTCATGTTTGCTGATAAATATTTAAGGCTTTCATTTCACTGAGGGCTTTCTGGTACTGTAGACTTGTAGTGAACTTTTTTTTTTGGCATAAATGTCTTGCAAAACAAATAGCTAAACAGGAAACCAGAACAGCAGAAAGACTTGCCCGTGCCTTTTGTCATGACAATTATGCTAAATGGCAAAGCATACCTTTGTTTTAATTTGAGGGCCCTCCCCACCCTCATGTCTGTGATCCCTCACTCGATCCATATTTCTTTTCTTTGACAGGCTGAAGGCCTTTTCTTTAACATACTGTCCTTCCTGACAGCGAGCATCACTAGACCTCCCTGTGGAGCTGCCCAAGAGCACTGTTTGCTGAATACCCTGAATGCCCATGGGGGATGTGTGACAACATTTCTGCTCTGTCGTATGCTCCTGTCACCTTAAGAGCACTGAATTTAAGCCAGCCTTCTCTTGTTTCTAATCTAAACAAAAAAGCAATGATATCATTTTTAATATTAATATTAACAACCAAAGGTCTGACCAAACAAGAGCCAACTGAAATCAGAAAGTGTTAACCTAAAATATGTTTGGAAAGCAATCTTGCTACAGTCCAATGTTATTCAACCTATTCTTACCTTCTGACTGTGTATTAAAATAACCTGAATGGTTAAGACTAATTCTCTGCTACTAGTCATAAGAAATTCTTAGTTCCCTAACTACTTCAAAAGATACTACAAGAGTAAAATATTGGTGAACATCAGTGGATATGAAAGGAAGGAGTGGTGTAAATTTGCACTCACTGACTGTGTGTTTAATTCCTCTGTAGATGCTATGTCAATAGTAACAGAGATCATGTTGCAAGAAAGTTTTGATGAAGTCTCCACGCAGCTTCTTTCTCTCTATGTCTTACACCAGTACCTGGCAACCAAGTCTGAACATACGGTAAGCTGATCACACTCAAAAGCAGAGACCCAGGGTCTCTACTTCCAAGTGTCATGATGCAGTCAATTGGGCCTTCAGTCTTGGATAGATTATATTTCTCTTAAGGTTTTTTTTTTTTTTTAAGAAAAAGCAGCACAATACAAAAATGTACCAAGTAACTTGTGTGCTCCAGACGAAAAGACAAAAAGCTTGTCAGGATCTAGAGGAGATCTGCTGCCCTGTTCATGGAGGGTTACAAAATGAAACTACAGAAATTCAAACAAGACTCCATTAGTTAATGTGTATGTTGTGAGGAAAAACTGCTGAGCAGTATTGCCTGTTTTATGAGACTATATTAAGAGAGGGTGAGCATTGCCAAGCATTAGAGCTTGGTACTGGAGATGCTGAATGATTTTAAAACATTTTCAGTAAGATTTTTTAACAGCTCATTTGTTTTTGAGTGTCGCTGCTGTTGCTTAAAGACAGCTGTTGTAGCATGACAGCTCAGACCTTTGGAAATGCTGTTATTCTACCTTTACAGAAGGGACTGAGCTAGGAATCAGCCAAGGGTTTTGCTGTCTCCATCACTTTAGACAGGTGCTTCAAAGCTGTGTTGTCATCTGTAAGCAAAATACTTGAGGTCTCCATCTGTTTTACATGAGGCACTTGTACTATGCATTTTTGAATATGCTTCAAGGCTTTAATCCAGAGTGAAATCTGAAATTACAATCCATTTGGAAATAGGTATTCATTTCCTCTGCCATTCCTTCTCTCCACCATTTCCCATAAGCTTAGTGTGTATGATCACTTGTATAGGGCAAGCAGAGGAACTAGAACCTCATTTGTCCACTGTGTTTGTCTGTATTTTTAGTTTGCATTTGTATTTTGTAGTTTGTCCTCATTGCGAAGACCAGCACTCATCAATGTGTGTATCATTTCATGAAGTTACAGGCAGGGATGCCATAGACACGTGACAGGTTTAAGCGACAAGCATATTTATACAACTGTGGTCTATTTAATATGCACTTTGAAATAACCTCATTCAAGGCCACCTTTTATCTGCCATATTTTTGTATGTATACCCCACAAAGACTGCCATTCAGCACCTTATAACACTCAGAACCAGTATGTTCTGTGTTTGATTAAGGAAGAAGTAGGAGAGCTTCCCTCTGACTCTGAACACCTTTCCCCATCCCTGTTCCTTTTTCCAAGATCAGTAAACAGTGTCCTGCTGCAAACAGGCCCTTCCTTATGGCTTTAGGGTCCAGCAGACTGCTATTATGTATTTTAACTTTTAGAGCCAAATCTTGGGACTGAGACATTGAACCAACAGCAGTTGTAATAAAAAACATTGTGCATGGCCCTGGCTATAGAGACCTTCCACTTTTTTACTACTCTGAGCACTACGTAAACTCTACTGGTCTTGGCTCTCCCCAGGAAGTTTTCTCTTGCCATTTGTATCTTTCTTTTCACTATGTTTTTAGCAATGGTATTTGTTTAGTCACTTCCATTTACTGAGAAGAGACTTCAGATTCTTGAAATCAATGTTTCTGTGGCCTTGAGAAATGTACTGTTCTATTCCACTGCCAAGCAAAATCCACACCACTCCCGTGGTTTTAGTCTACTTACTCATTGGGACCCCTCTCAGCCATCAGAGCTGCTACTTCCTTCTATGCAGAGGGACAGTTGTACCCTTAATTCCAGGCCATTGCTAAGTGGACACGCAGGGGTCTTGGTGAGTTGCATATATTACTTTTATGGTGCAGGTTTTGGCACAGAGCAGCCCCTGACAGCATACTCTTATTTCAGTATTTTCCTATTCTAGTGAAAAATAGTGTTGCTTGTAGTTAATCACCACATACTCAGAAGACATGCTTCTAGGAGAGAAGCCATGTAATTTTGTTTTCAACAGATTTAGCCTGAAGCAATTGGTAAGACTTACAGCACAGAGGCAGAGTTTGACCACTGTACATTCAATGTAAATCTTTATCCCACAGGAATCACACTGATTGACTTCAATGCAGACTTTCAGCTGCTCACAGTTTATTGTCTTCCAAAAGGAATTATTCCTCAGTATATAAGTATATTGTTCCTCAGCATACGTGTTCCTTAGTGTAGACTGATACTTTAGCTCCAAACACTCAACATGTTTAATGAATCTTTGTTATTAAAAGGTCCAAAGAAAGTCGCATATGCTACCTTTTGTTGCTGCCAATTCGTGTTTGTCAAGCAAAACTTCTTTGGTTTACTTATTTTGCAGTGGGAAGAAGAAAGAAATCTTGGTGCGTCGCTGGTGCTCACTGGTCTAAAGCAAACAAGCACCGTGGGGTTTAGCTCCCAGCTGTATGGCTATGCCTTCCTTGGTAAGCTTTACCTCCCTCGCAGTCATCTTTTCACATTACTGTCCTTGCTGGCTGAATTAATTGGCATCTTTGCTGTATTAAAATGTAATTGAGAAAAGACTAAGGGGAAAAAAAGGCAGGAATAATAGAAGGAACAATTTCAGAGCTGCTGAATCTGAATTCTGTACTAAAACTGAATCTATTTTGTAAGGCTGGGATGTTAGTACTGATTTGAATGCTATGCCCTTTATCACGCTGTTTCACAAGCTCGTTCAGGGCTCCCTGCAGGTTTGGATTGGCAGTTGAATGGAGGGAGACATTCTCATGGAACCCTAGAGTTTGTTTGTTGTGGACTAACCGTGTTTTCTGAAAAGAAAAATATGGAATCCCATAAGACAGTTTTAAGATTATGAACAATAGGCTCTCTTTTTCTGTTTGTTTTTGTTCTGCTTGCTTGTGGGCTTTTTGTTGTTGTTTTTGTTTGTTTAGTTATAACTTGAGAGCTTCTAAAAGTAATCCTAAAACCCCAAAAGCTCAGAGACCACAGCTTGAAAAACACTGTTTTTTAGAATGTTCACTGCACATTTAAACACAAGCACTTCCGTTGTTAACAGTATTGCCTTTATTTTTTAACTATTGTAGAGTCCCAGTTGCTAATGATAATCCATATTAAAGAACAATTAGATGATAATATGTCCAGAATTGAGGAGGGAAGAAACTGGGAGAAGGGGTTGGTAATTCTTAAATAACTTTTTTAACCTTTAGAGGACTACAGTTCTGAGAGTTTTTTGTCCTTCCCTGCAGGTATTTATTTGTCTGAAAATAATTAATTCAGAATTAATCATTATTCAATTGTTTCATTGTTGCATTGTATTTTATTCTAGATGTTTCTGAGGGTTATAAAAAGTGGTTATGTTCCTAAAACAGTTTCAAAATACAATGTGTAGTGGCAGAATAAGGATGCTGATTCTAATTTATCATGACTGTAACACAAAACCACATAGTCAAAAAGGAAGATAAATATAAAAGCTAAATTGAAAGCAGATTTTTCATACAGCTGTTGTTTGTCATCCTGTGGAGATACTGATACAGATAGAGGAGCTTTACTCCCCACTTGGCATTCAATCTGGAAGGTTTTTATGTCATATAGATTGGTTGAGTAGTGGCTGATTTCAGCAATGCACTTCACTGTTGAGAGCAGTAGTATTTGTCCCATGACATTGACATTCAGTAGATCAAAAGCTATTTACTGTTATATGTCACGCATTTCACAGTCTTGCCAACACTAATGGAGCTGACCTCTGTAAGAGTGAAAGATGTCTACAGGCACAGTGTGGCCTCAAGCACCTTGGCTGTTTTGATTTAGCTAAAACCCCTAGCCAGTGTCTGCACACTTACTACCTTGCTTTACCTGAACTCTTGTCTCCCGTATAAAGGTGTGTTTTCATGGTTTTGCATTATTACAGCCAGAGTATAAATGACGTTCAGAACTCGGATCTGTGACTTACTTAAACTGCACTGGAGTCGTGTTGTTACACCTGCAGTGACAAAATCAAGGGCAGTACTTATCAGCTGGCATGCGATGTGCATTTCTTCTGGGTGTAGAACAAGTGTTTCATGTTCTTTAGTGTCTTCCTGGAGGCAATCCACATTGTCAATGGTGCTGCGTATCACAGGTCTTGTGAAAGTCAGTGAAAACCTTGTTGCACAGCATCCTAAATTCAAACCAAAGTTTCAGTCAGACCTCCTATACTTCCTCCCAGGAAACTCCAGCTAGAAATAAGAATACTGAGCTGTATAAATAGCCAGAGCATCTGCTGTAAGTGTCATACAGTCTTGACAACTCAGCCACATTTCTTTTCCTTTTGAACAAAGAAACAAATAAGTAATAGTCCTGAAGATGAGTAAAAAAAAAGGCACACAAAGATTTAATATCTGTCTTTATGTCTCCATCTGTAAGCTATATTGTTTAATGTTTCCCTGGGTAATGGCAGTTCTGTCAGAGTAGCTTTGTAGAAAAGTTGTTTTTAACCGCAGGTGTCAAGAAACTTGCTATCAATTTTTAAGAAAGCAGAGCCAACCTTTCCTTAAGACTCAAAAAGTGTGGAAATACTAACATCAAAGTATTGTTTCTTCACAGGGAAAGTGGAGCTGAATAAAGGATATATTACTTTTATGGTGCAGGTTTTGGTACAGAGCAGCCCCTGGCAGCATATTCTTCTGTCAGTATTTTCCTATTCCAGTGAAAAATAGTGTAGCTTGCATTTAATCACCACATACTCAAAAAAGTGCTTCCAGGAGAGAAGCCATGTAGTTTTCATAGAATCATAGAATCATAGAATGCTTAGGGTTGGAAGGGACCTCTAGAGATCATCTAGTCCAACCCCCCTGCACACGCAGGGACACCTAGAGCACGTGGCACAGGACTGCATCCAAGCGGGTTTTGAAGATCTCCAGTTCAATGCAGACTTTCAGCTGCTCACAGTTTATTGTCTTCCAAAAGGAATTATTCCTCAGTATATAAGTATATTGTTCCTCAGCATACGTGTTCCTTAGTGTAGACTGATACTTTAGCTCCAAACACTCAACATGTTTAATGAATCTTTGTTATTAAAAGGTCCAAAGAAAGTCGCATATGCTACCTTTTGTTGCTGCCAATTCGTGTTTGTCAAGCAAAACTTCTTTGGTTTACTTATTTTGCAGTGGGAAGAAGAAAGAAATCTTGGTGCGTCGCTGGTGCTCACTGGTCTAAAGCAAACAAGCACCGTGGGGTTTAGCTCCCAGCTGTATGGCTATGCCTTCCTTGGTAAGCTTTACCTCCCTCGCAGTCATCTTTTCACATTACTGTCCTTGCTGGCTGAATTAATTGGCATCTTTGCTGTATTAAAATGTAATTGAGAAAAGACTAAGGGGAAAAAAAGGCAGGAATAATAGAAGGAACAATTTCAGAGCTGCTGAATCTGAATTCTGTACTAAAACTGAATCTATTTTGTAAGGCTGGGATGTTAGTACTGATTTGAATGCTATGCCCTTTATCACGCTGTTTCACAAGCTCGTTCAGGGCTCCCTGCAGGTTTGGATTGGCAGTTGAATGGAGGGAGACATTCTCATGGAACCCTAGAGTTTGTTTGTTGTGGACTAACCGTGTTTTCTGAAAAGAAAAATATGGAATCCCATAAGACAGTTTTAAGATTATGAACAATAGGCTCTCTTTTTCTGTTTGTTTTTGTTCTGCTTGCTTGTGGGCTTTTTGTTGTTGTTTTTGTTTGTTTAGTTATAACTTGAGAGCTTCTAAAAGTAATCCTAAAACCCCAAAAGCTCAGAGACCACAGCTTGAAAAACACTGTTTTTTAGAATGTTCACTGCACATTTAAACACAAGCACTTCCGTTGTTAACAGTATTGCCTTTATTTTTTAACTATTGTAGAGTCCCAGTTGCTAATGATAATCCATATTAAAGAACAATTAGATGATAATATGTCCAGAATTGAGGAGGGAAGAAACTGGGAGAAGGGGTTGGTAATTCTTAAATAACTTTTTTAACCTTTAGAGGACTACAGTTCTGAGAGTTTTTTGTCCTTCCCTGCAGGTATTTATTTGTCTGAAAATAATTAATTCAGAATTAATCATTATTCAATTGTTTCATTGTTGCATTGTATTTTATTCTAGATGTTTCTGAGGGTTATAAAAAGTGGTTATGTTCCTAAAACAGTTTCAAAATACAATGTGTAGTGGCAGAATAAGGATGCTGATTCTAATTTATCATGACTGTAACACAAAACCACATAGTCAAAAAGGAAGATAAATATAAAAGCTAAATTGAAAGCAGATTTTTCATACAGCTGTTGTTTGTCATCCTGTGGAGATACTGATACAGATAGAGGAGCTTTACTCCCCACTTGGCATTCAATCTGGAAGGTTTTTATGTCATATAGATTGGTTGAGTAGTGGCTGATTTCAGCAATGCACTTCACTGTTGAGAGCAGTAGTATTTGTCCCATGACATTGACATTCAGTAGATCAAAAGCTATTTACTGTTATATGTCACGCATTTCACAGTCTTGCCAACACTAATGGAGCTGACCTCTGTAAGAGTGAAAGATGTCTACAGGCACAGTGTGGCCTCAAGCACCTTGGCTGTTTTGATTTAGCTAAAACCCCTAGCCAGTGTCTGCACACTTACTACCTTGCTTTACCTGAACTCTTGTCTCCCGTATAAAGGTGTGTTTTCATGGTTTTGCATTATTACAGCCAGAGTATAAATGACGTTCAGAACTCGGATCTGTGACTTACTTAAACTGCACTGGAGTCGTGTTGTTACACCTGCAGTGACAAAATCAAGGGCAGTACTTATCAGCTGGCATGCGATGTGCATTTCTTCTGGGTGTAGAACAAGTGTTTCATGTTCTTTAGTGTCTTCCTGGAGGCAATCCACATTGTCAATGGTGCTGCGTATCACAGGTCTTGTGAAAGTCAGTGAAAACCTTGTTGCACAGCATCCTAAATTCAAACCAAAGTTTCAGTCAGACCTCCTATACTTCCTCCCAGGAAACTCCAGCTAGAAATAAGAATACTGAGCTGTATAAATAGCCAGAGCATCTGCTGTAAGTGTCATACAGTCTTGACAACTCAGCCACATTTCTTTTCCTTTTGAACAAAGAAACAAATAAGTAATAGTCCTGAAGATGAGTAAAAAAAAAGGCACACAAAGATTTAATATCTGTCTTTATGTCTCCATCTGTAAGCTATATTGTTTAATGTTTCCCTGGGTAATGGCAGTTCTGTCAGAGTAGCTTTGTAGAAAAGTTGTTTTTAACCGCAGGTGTCAAGAAACTTGCTATCAATTTTTAAGAAAGCAGAGCCAACCTTTCCTTAAGACTCAAAAAGTGTGGAAATACTAACATCAAAGTATTGTTTCTTCACAGGGAAAGTGGAGCTGAATAAAGGACTAAGAGCTGTATACAAACTAATGCCACTGATGTGGACACCTGGATACTTGAATAGAGCCTTGCAAGTGATGGAGAATGTAGCTTCCTTACCAGGGGACAGCAAAATCTGCAAAGAAGCTGTAAGTAGTAGGACTGTAAGAAACTTAACAGAAAGAATTTCTTACAAGCCTAACCCCAGTGAGACCCATTAATTCCCTGCCTTGCTAATTATAAGATACCAAACCTCTTGAGGGCCAGCAATTTTTCAAAAGTCTTGGGAGGGTGGGGGAAGAAATAACATTTATAACAGAACCATTGCCACAGTTCTCAAGGCAGCAGTGATAGCTACTAGCAGTTCCTTGGGCATGAGCACTCGCTGTTGCCACAAGCTATTGCAGCATGTTCTCAAGCCTCCTTACCTAGGCACTGACTCTGTGTCTAGCCAAGGCAATGTCTAGAACAAGCAGAGCTCAGTGTAGCAGGGGTTGGGGAGACATCTTGGTTGCCCAAGCTGCTTTTGGGCTTGCTCAGAGGTGTAGCAGCAAGGGTGAAATGGTGCACTCTGTGTCTTGCCTGGCTACGTGCCTGCAGTGTGTGCCCTTGAGGGAGGTGGGGAGGGTGGATGAACTAAGGCTGTTCGCAAGGACATTTCTGACTAAGGGGCTTTATGCTTAGGAGTACTCTAGGCTTCAGGCTGTGCCTGGAACCAGCCAGCAGAGAGTAACTTAGCAAAGCACCGTCACATGGGTTGGCCCACAGAAACAGCACTGATGCTCTCCTTCCCTTCTTGGTACGTTTTACTGGAGGGCTGTTTGCTAATGGGAGTCTTTCCTTTGCTAGCATCACTACTAGGCATAGAGTGTTTGCTTTTCTCAGAGCTGAAGGGATGCTGTCCAGGGGCTAGGGCACTGCTCAGCAGGCTCTCCTGGTATTCCCTCCTCCGAAGTAGCTCTATGCAACACTGGAGAAGGCAAGGGAGGAAGCAACACTCTATCCACCACAGGGAATAGCTCAAAGAGCTCAATCTCTCTTTCTAGTAAGTACTTACTATTGTCTGATGTATGACACAATTCTGAGGAGCACAGCTGAGCATCCCAAGGACCACAGACAGAGAGCTCACCATGGGTGTTTGACAGAAAGAAAGCCTGAAGACTTCTCAAAGTTAACTGCTTTGGAAGACTTGGCATTTGAGCGTTACTTCAGCTTACAAACCCTAGACAACCTTCTGGATTATAGACAAACATCCTAGTGCCAAAACTAGTTTCGGTCTTTCTGTGGTGACTCAGATCTAATCTAGTTTCTTCTTTCTGTGTCTGTACTGAGGCAGAGAAATAGTGTTATACAGTAAAACCTACCGAAGCTTTCTTGGCAGACACACTTCTTATCTGTTCAGTGAGCAGCTTAAGCTATAAGGTTTTAATGTCATCTGTCATTCAAGAAATTATGAAATAAGTTTGTTACTGATCACTCATTGCTGCCAAGTGTCACCATACAAAACTAGTATTAGTGTCCAAAAGGTAATAACTGTTACAAACACCTGTAAACCTCCCTGAAAAGATTTGTGGCCTGGTTTAGATTTTAGGTAGCAATGTTAAAACAACAGTGCAGGTTGTTTTCACCAGGACCAGAGATCTTGAGATTAACAAAAGGATTTTACTCCAAAGCATTTTTGTGACTCCAGTATTACAAAAAAAAAAAAAAAGTAAAATATGTAAATATGTTAGCCCATATCCTTCTTTGGTATAAACTAATTGCAGTATATTGATTTGCATCATCTGGTTCTACCTAAATGCTCATTAAGAACTTACTATTAAAAATTTGTACAGATATTTTTAATGATTACCTCCAACTAAAATACAATATTCCCAAGGGTGACGGACTAATAGCACTGACCAGGTCAATACTGAGAGTCATTCAGCTGCCACTGAGGTCACTAGCAGATAGGGTAGAAACAATTATCTTAGGTGTCATAAACCTCCTTTTCCTGTAGTATTCTGGGCCTCAGAAGAGAAATAGACCACTCTGCAGTTCTTGCAAATCCATATCATGGCCTTGATAATACAGAAACCACTATGACCATGCATACCTGCATAACAGCAGTCTCATTTGAAAAAGATACTATCCTGCTTTCCAGACTTATTCTATTTCAAAATATAGCTTTACCTTCTGGTTGAAGAAACTGCATTATCTAAAAGAGAAGTTTCAGATAAACTTTGGTAGGTTTTACTGTAGATCACTATTTCTTAATCGCGCAGATTTGGTGTATGCATTTTTAAGTGATTTGGCACTCACTGAGAGCCGACTTGCTTCCCTTCAGGCTTTGACTTCACCTGTCACCCTTTGACTCACTAGCTGTTTCTCTTCCTTGTACTGGAATGTAATGGAAGCTTTTTTATAGTGTTATGCTACATTGTTTTAAACTGCAAGCAGGTAAGTTAAGTCATAACATTTGAGGAGAGGTGGAATTCTCTCAGAAACTCTCCTAGTGAGACACTGTGTATTTCCTAGCACACATTTAGGGTTTTGTTGCTTTTTTCATCCTGCTTCACTATTAATAGCTCGTTTTATATATCAGTATATGTATCCTCATTGTAAATGTATATAGATAGATACTTTATGGTATCATTAACAGTGGTATGGTATACATTCCAGTGTGAAAAATCTGTGTCATCCCTAAATCATCCTTTTTATTCTTTTAAGCATTATATATTTATTCTAGGAAAATGAAACCACAGGTATCAGGATTCCTTTTTTTTTTTCCCCCAGAAAGTGTCGTAAGTTCAAAGGTTACGGTTATTTCATCCTACTGATAAACATGCAGAATTAGGATTCACAGAAGGATAATGGCTCTTCACATATGTAAAGGCTGACCTTTAAAAGGCACGTAGAATGCATTCACTAATTTCAGTTATAAAAATCATGTTATTCACAAAACTGCAGCAATATCCATATAGCAATTCCATCTTCTGTATCAATAATACATACAGAAATAATATACCAAGTATCTTAATGAAGCTAATGCATTCTTTTGCTACAGTTGCAATTAGATAGGAGAGGGTGGTTCTCTTAGTATCTTAACATGAGAGAAACATGGAGAAGGAGGATGTTGGAGGTTAAAAAATAAATAAATAAAAGCCTATGTCGAGATGATGCATGCCTGCATTTCCATCTTCCCTGTTATCCAGCTGACAAAAATTAATTTTATTATTGCTAAAAACGTGTTTTCCCCTGCTTATTTTCACTGAAGAGGAACTATGATGACCTATTGCAGATTTTATTGATTATATTGTTTTATTTTTTATATTTTGTAAATTCAAAAGTAAAATAAAGTAACATATCTGTAACTGTATATCGGGCTAGTGCTGTTAAACGTAACTACCATTCAGAGTTATCATTTATGACCAGATATCAGGCCAAGAGGGATTGTTTGTCTAATGCCTGACACACATGGAAACACCAGTTGCCTCCGAGTCAAAGGGTGTTTTACTGTTGACAGGAGATGTGAGATGTGGGGGCTGGCCCAGTTACAGTAGACAATACTTACTTCCTCCAATAACAAGCTTATTTCCTTACTTCCTTTTAAAATTTGGTTTTATCATGTAAAGTAGTAATCTCAAAATACACGTTAACTTGTGAGCTGTTTGTAAATGTGACAGCATTATTATTCAGATTTTATTTCCAAACTTTGTGCTAACAATGACAAATGCAATTGTTCAGATTGATATTGTGGAGACCATCTTGCAGTCTGCCCTTGAAGCAAAACCTGATCCAGAACCAACAGAAGCTGAGAAGGCAGAGCAGAAGCCACAGTGGGAAGAGTCAGAAGAAACTGAGCAGTCTAAAATACCTGATTACTACAACCGATTCAAGGTAGATTTTCTTTCATTTAACTATTACTAAGCTGTAGTAGATCTCCATAGTATGTATCAGTAAATAAATATACTCTCTTAAGATGCTAGCAGACTGACACCCCTTCAGTGCATCAGGAGCACTACCTGGCATTTTTGAAACTGATGTCACATTACATTTTTACTGCCTTGAACAGGAAGCAGCCTTCAAAGAAATAAATGCTCAAGGCCACTTGTCTTTTGTCTGTCTGCTGGGATTTTATCTTCACTTTTCATACATCAAACTGATAAATCCAAATCCTGTTTGCTAAAGTGGTATGTCATTACAGATCCATTATCTGACCTTGCATGGGCTTTTGCTCATTAAAATAAATTGTGCTGGGGTGAGACCATACTGAATTTATTGTCCATTTAGGTATGTTATCATTAAGATGTTGCATCCTATACTTTCAGTCTGGAGAATTAGGTAAGGCTATAACCCCTTTCTTTTATCATTAGGTCTTCACACTGCTGCTAACAATGTGGAATACAAACAGCTGGTCATTAAGGCACAGCTGTATAATGAGACCATTTTATGCAGTCATCTGCAATTTGTACTGTGTGAAAGTCAGATTGCCCAGGTTTATATTAATCTGGCCTGTAGTTCCAGGAGTAGTGCTCTTTCTTCAGCATATCACATTTTATTGTTGTCTCAACCCTGGACAGTTACTCTGGATACAGACAACCCTTCTTCTGAAGAAAATTTAGAAGCTAGAACACTAGTATCCTGTGGTTTCACCTTATAAACAGACACATTTCCCTTCTTCAATTTTTATTTACATGAATTATTTACCACTAATCTTCAGATATTAAACTTGTTTCAGAGGCACTTAGGAGTTTTTAATTAAAGTCTCTGGGAATCAGTGGGTGATCAGCATGTGATAATTAATGCCCGGGTGAATTGCTGTCAGATGGATAAACACAACTGCCCTTTGAAGGAAGGAGTGAGGCATTTTCATGAGTCTTTCATTGTCTAGCCTACAAAGAAGATAATTCAGAGTGCAAAAAACAAGCCTAAATACCAAACTGGGGACAGGCTGGTGCCAAGTGGGGGTGTTTTCTCATCACCTCAACCTTTCCACAAGTTCCTTAATTAACCCTCAGTTCAGGCATTCCCTAGTGTAGTAGCAAGTGCCTTGACAGAGGGCAAACAAACCAGAGTATCCAGCTCTAAGGCCCTGCCAGAAGAGCCTGAATGTAAGGAATGACGTAACCCTAGTGTGAAGCCTGGGTATCCAGCAGTAAGTTACATATAAGCAAAATACTTTTTTAGTTGCCTGCATGAGAAGAGAGATCTCAGGTCATTTCAGCCAGGCCTAGAAAACCCCTGAGACCCCTCTCTCAAGTCTATTACGCTATGTGCAGCCAGTCTTCTGAATGAGCCCCAGGACACCCACACTGTAGGTGTAGTTCACAGGCGTGAGATGACTGTTGCCTAGAAATCCATTAGCTCCGAGGCAGGTGACAGCTGTGAAGCAACCTGGTGATGGTGGCATTCACAGCCAGTGTCCCAGCACAGCCTCTCTGCCCCTCGTACGAGGTAACCTCAGCACCGAAGAGGGACTGCTGCTGTAAAGCCGTTTGTCCAGCCTTGCGTGAGCCAGCGGTCTTCCCTCATGGTCGTGGCTTCTCTCTCCTGCTTGCACAAGTTCTCCTTCACAGGTTATACAACTGGATAGGATTATTATTGATCCCTCACAGCTCAGGATATCTTTATTTTGCTCGCTCATATAACATCCAGGTCGAAAAAAAAACAGGTTTGTAGAGGATAAATATTATAAAATACTCTTTTTTTTACCCCTCCACACACAAACACACACATTCTCTGTAATGACAAGGGGAAGACTATTAGGTTTTAGTGGTGATTTCTTGCAAGGCAAGTTATTTCTTTTAACCTGTCAAATACATGCTCTGTTCTCTGTGTTTGGGCACTATTGCTGTTTTCATGCTTCTTGCAGTATACATGTGGCTTAGTCAATAGTCCATGTGTATAGAGACCACCTTTCCAATCCGTCTTTCCTCACAGTGTAACTAGAGTGCCTGTTGGCTTCACATCATACCATGCCTGGCTTTTGTACACATAGCTGAACTTCATGCCTACTTTCAGTCAAAAGATCAGCCGTTTGTATAAGTACCTGCAAGAAAGCATATCAGCCTGACTAACAAAAACTGTTGTGTGAGAGGCAGTACATCCTTCCTTTCCACTAAAACAAATAGTACTTGAGGGCATTTGGCTCTTTTTAGATAAAACCTCTGGAGCTGTAATTTGAACTCTTGACAGTGTCATTCATGTTGTAATTACCTGTCTGCAGATACTATATACTTAGGCCTACTATTCCATATAACATTCCTCAGGCAATTTCTTCCATCTGTGTCAGTGATCAGTGGGCAAGTATTTCATCTTTTGAAAGTGCTGGGTTCATATCAAGAACTGAGCTGCACTCAAATGCCAGCTCTAGAAGCAGTGCTCCTTTGCTGACCGTGTGCATGCAGAGCTCTGGAGTCTGCTTAAAGAAGTCCGTGATTTAGCCTTTAGAAATGTGCCCTTCTGGCACCCTCAGAATGTACAGCTTGCTAGCTTACTAAATGAGCTTTACTGATATTTTACAGTAGAGCACAGAGGATTACAGGAGTTAAGTAAGTGGTGCCAGTAAGGGTCTAGGAGAGAGGTCATAGCAGTTCCCAGCCCACTGTATTTCTTCTGGTTCAATTTCATAGTGCTTAGGTTCAGCACACTTTTTATCCACACATCCTCAGTAGTGGTTGTAGGGACAGTCTGAATGATATGAGACAGTTATATTTAAAGTGCATATTTAATCTAGAAGAATGAGGATAGTTATCAGGAATTACGTTGCTTTCCTAGACCCAAACTGCATTGTCTTTTCATTTTTCTTACTGACATGCCTTATGCTCTCTGACATCTCAGACAAAAAACAGATGAATATGCCTAAATATTGTGAAGTTCCGTTTTAGTCCAGTAGCTTCAAAGCCTTTTCTTTTTTTCATCATTTTCTTTCTTTGTACATGAAATCAGAAAGCTGGTGTAGCCAAAAACCAAGATCTGCATCCCTGGCGCTTTAGAGCCTTCTGTAACCTGCCATCTGTGCAGTTCGAAGCTTCTTGGGCCTAGCAATGCCCAACAAAACAGTGACTGTGGTTTTGGCTGATGCAGGGGGAAGCAGAGAGGTCTCAAAAGGGGCATTGCAGTTTCCTGTGTGCTGCGACGCTCCCCATGGCAAAAGCTGGGGGCAGAAGTGGTTAGAGCGCTTGCAGATCACGATTCCTGGCGTGGGCTGGGGTAGGAGGAACACTGCAGGAGCACAGCACGCTACCTGTGCTCCAGGTGCAACTGAGGTGGAAGGCTGCATGTCTGTGAGACCCAGAATTGCCATTTTGTTTGGAAGTGCATTATCCCTATGCCCCCTTTCCATCATTCTGCAGTGCTAAACAGGCTTTATTCAAAGCATCCATGAAAGCAGCATGGAGCATAACTTTCTTTAGACCACCTAGTTAGTTAGGTCATACACTTCAGAAAGTGCTCTGCCCAGAGAAAAAAAATATTATTTAGAGGAACAAGCAGAAAAATGTGTTCCTATCTCATGCATGAGCAAGGGGTAAAGAATCTGCCTGTGCCACGTTGTCTTCCTCCCCCAGGAACATTCTCCCTGGCTCTCTGTGTATCTGCACTTTCAAGGCAATTAATCAGCTTGTTAGTGAGGCATCTGGCTAAAGATCCCAGTAAGTCATAAATAGTATCACTAGATGATTCATGATCTTCAGTGAATTTTTTTTTATGCTGCATAAAATCTAGATTTGTAAAGCTCAAGAAAGAAGTACCACCCTTGCCTCCCTCAAGCACTTCTCCTAGCTACAGTGGTTTAATCCAGCATAGAATATCCCTGAATAAATATTACTTGCTTCAGCTGTATTGTACAGTCTGTGTAGGCACAGTCAAGCTTCAGATCACATTATTTGTTGGGAAAAAAATCCCATGGGATGTGGCAGCAGCTCACTATGGCTGCAGAGGCTCAGGGGATCTGTTAATATTCCATCAGTAAGAGACCATTTAAAGTCATTTGCATCTATTGAAAAGGATGCTAATGCAGGCAATGCAGAGCAAATGTTTACATCACTTTTGATTTAATGCACACACACACACAAAAAGAAAGGCTTTAGAGTATATTTGTTATAGGTAACTGGTCAGCTAATGAACAAGTTTTTTTATGCCATGTAACTGAACTTGGGGAAAAAAATATTCAGACCTCAACTAAAATGAACCTTGATTATTTCATATTTATTGATCAATTAAGACTTGATTGTGGAGCATTTGAAGAAGTGAAAAAAATGTTAATGACCATTGTCAAAACACTTTGCTAAATAGCTATCTGGTGCATGTAGATAGATGAAAGCAACCACAAATTGTTATAGGGAAGTATTTTTGGATGATAATTTTGTGACTGACTGACTGTCTCTTTTTTTCTCTCTCCTCACCAAATCTGTTTTTATGACAGGAACTGTATTCTAAGCTGCATTCACTTGGCAAGGTTGAATCTGAAAGCCTGTTAACCCTGACCACCCAACTTGTCAAGGAAAAGCTGCCAGCATGTGAAGTGGAAGACATTGCAAAACATGAGCAGAAGCTAAAGGACTGGGAGAAAGAACAAGCACTTCTTACTGAGAGAGAGAGAGAGATGAGAGAAAAGGCTAAGCAGGAACTGGAAGCTAGAAACCTGGCTAAGCAGGAACTGGAAGCTAGAAACCTGACTAAAGCATCTGCTTAACATTGGAATTCAGACTAGTGTTGCACATTCTTCTGTTAATAAACTTAAGTGCTCACCATTATAAATACTTCATTTTAATCCTGCTGCAAACGTGACTACTTAATATACACAAATAAAACTATTTCCAATTTGCCCCAAAGTATAGTACATGTGGTTTAGAAATCACCGTCCTGTATATAATATCTATTCCTTCCGTGTATTGCCAGGCAGCGAGTGGGCTGGAGACAACATGAGGAAACAAAGGCATAAAAAGCAGCTTGCCTGTGGTGAAAGGTGTTCAGGGTAGAAGAAAAAGGAGGAAGGAGGAATTTCGAACACAAGTTGTTTCACCAGACATTTCTCATAGGAAAGAATAAGAATCCCTTGGTTACCCTGAACTTAAGACACTAAGAGGATTAATGTATTGATTTCTTTTTTTCTTCTTGTTTTTTTCTTTTTTTTTTGCCTCCCAGCCCATTTGGAAGAATCACGCTACTATACGTGGAGCTGTAAGCCTTACTTTAGACTATTTTTAAAACTATTTTTAAAGACTTTTAGCTTAGAGAGTCAGCATGTGCAGAGGCACTCAGCAGTGCCTCTAAGAATATCTCCCTGCAAGGCAGCTAGAAATTCACTTGAACTACTTTGTTCCATTTTTAAGGTCAATGGAGAGACATCCACTATCACCTCCGCAAACACGTAAGAGCTTCATACTACATTGTAGTTCCCATTTATTTTCTGGGCCATTTCATGCTTTTGATCCTGTTTCCTTCTGGCCTCATCTGCATACATGCTCTGTTGTTTCCTGCAGATACTGAACACAGAGCCCAAGAAAATACAAAGGGCAGAAGGATTTGTGCACACCGGTCGGGTACATCCATCAGCATCTATCCCTGCTTATATTCCTTTTCACTACACAATCTGATCAGCTGCAGCAGGCAGCTTTCTGCAGCTCCTGGCAGAGTAAGGTCCTTAAAAATACAGAGATCTTAGCAACAGTGCTGTTGTATGGCAGCTTGTGGTAGCAACAATAGTGTCCTGACTCACACTGCTTTGGTGTGGCACAGCATTTGGTAAGTGTTTCCGGTTTTATCATGCACCTGTCTAGTCTTGCAGCTTTGAAACATGCCACAAGTTCACTGTCACACAGCAAATCTCTGTGAACTTGGGAAGGATCTTAGCAACATCAACCAAATACTACTAGTATTCCCAGTGCATGGCAATAAAGTCTTTAACTCCATCTTTTCAAGAAGTCCCCTAGTTTTTTCCACATCTCAAAAAGACAGCAGCACAGGGGATGATTTTGCACCTTGGACTAACCGTACCAGCAGTACCCTTTCTCAGGGAGTTTTTCCCTAAATAGTTGCCAGTTGCTAGGGGCTGAAATCAAGGAGTTTTATGGGTGAGCGAAGACAAAGCATATTCTGAGAACAACATAAAATGGGGAGCTTCAAGTGGACTCCTAGTCCACCTACAGGAAGCTGCAGCCTCCATTTCCTGCCAATGTATTTGATGTCCTTCAATATCAGGCATCTTCAGAGGTGAGTTACACCTGTATCGGGTTTTTGTTTTTTTTCTCAGCTTCGTCTGCACTACAGGATCTGCCTTTCCCTCCTAGGTGCTTTCCTACCACACCACATCATTTTAAGACCCTCCTCACGGAGCCGCACAGCCTCAAAATGCTGTGGCTGCTG